GCTTTGGCTGAAGCTGAGGTTTTATTGATGACAATGGGATGTATTTTGTATCCAGTTCAGCTGCATCTGTACATAAGTGAAGACTTCCCCACAGCAGCGCCTCACATCCTCAGTAGTCGGCATCTTGGCTGTGTGATGAAAGAAGGACGATTCTTTATTTATTCTGTTCTTTTTAAAAATTACTTCTCTCACAATTTCACTCACAAAACTGGAGCACAGACGTCTCGGTTTAGCCACACAGTCAGTCAGGAGGTACAGATCAGTGCCTCATTGCTTTATGTTCAGACAACATGCTGATTTCTGTTGAAGTGAAGGGGAGTACACGGTGCATGTGGGATACTACACGTAAGTGTCCTTGAATAGAGACACACTGAAATTAATCTATTTATTTATTTATAGCCAGTGTGCACAAATGGAGTTGATAAATTGGAGTTTCCAGGATGACTCTGAAGGTTCTTGAAGGAGGGTTTGTTTAAAGGGCAAGCCTGCATACGTTTCATCCAGGTGCTCCTAATTAACTGGTAGCTGACTGTAAACTGGCACTATACTTACTTGGCTCTCACAGACTCTGTCATCCTGGTGCAGCTTTTCAAATGAAAAGCTCTGCACTTCTTTTTTGATCTGAATTCCTGACTTTGAATCATGGAGCGTGTGCTGTTTTTATTGCTTTTACATTTTAAAGGAAGGAATTCTTTGTCATACGCTGACTGTAATTACAGCTGTAAAATGATGATGTGTGTGTAGTTGTTGTATATAGTTCCTCAGCTACATTGTGATTATATGCATAAGGGGTATTACTCAGTTTCAAACTTGCGGCCAAAACTTTTTAATCACTGTTAGTGGAAGCAGGTGCACTGTGGACGTCTTTACTGTCTGTTTATATGGATGCGAAGCTTGAAAGCCTGGAATTTGAGTCATGCTGTTGTTTGCAAGTGTTATTAGTTTATAAACTACTTAATGTGTCATAAAGAGACTTTTATTTTGGATGATATAGGAGCTGCGTCAGCATCTTGGGAATGCATGTTATTTAAAATAGGGCTGCTCGATTATGGCAAAAATGATAATCTCGATTATTTTCACTGAAATTGAGATCTCGATTATTTGACGATATTTATTTAACAATAACAATGT